ATTGTCGTTCCTATCAGTAACTTCAAAACAAAAGATCTAACTGTTGTTATTTCGATATCAAAATTGCAATACTTTGTAATTAATTCATTTGAATTTTGTTCAGAGAGCGTCATCACAGTGATGTATACTTACCGATTTAAGTCTTAACTCAGAAGTGAGTTTATAAATTTGAAATTGTGAAGCCTTGCAGTGGGACTATTATTTAACTGTTAAAGGTTATATATAAAACAGATTTCAATTTGATTATATATAATATATTATATACCAAATATATTAATTTTCTAATTGAAGTAAGTTATTCCTCAGACCAAAGTTTTGACTTAAAGGGGTAGAAGAAAATGCTGACTTGTACAAAAAGTGTAATATGATTAAAAGATATGTAATGTAATATAATACTTTAATAAGTATATGTTGCCTAAAATATAAGAATAAACTGTCGTGTAATTTTCCAATAGTTAGTTTAGTAGTTAGTATAATAAATCACTTCACAAATCCAATCCTGAATTTATAACCCGTTCACTGAGTTCACTGTAATAAAAGTTACCGATAACTTTAAAACAATAGCAGATAATGTAACTGTTCCCACTTAAAAGATTTCAGAAACTTTAAAATTGAAATGTTAGCGACAAAGTTTCTCAGTGACCTAATACTGAGTAAATGAAATAAATGAGTTCGAATAGTAAAGTTGAACAATGCACGGTATGCATTCGCGCAGGTGCACCGTCCTGGAGATTTTCCAATCTCATCCATTCTATTGTTGGCAATGCAATACCCAACAGAAGGCCGCATATGTGATCTTTACTGTGTTCATTGTTCTACTAGTTCCTATACAGTACGTGTCGCGTAAGCAGAACGCTAATCTGGATGCTGCGATGCCTTTCCTTTTTACTTGTTCAAAGCTTTTTATTTTTCTTATGTTTCATTGAAAATGTTATTTAAACAAGAGGATTTTTCGCTTTTGTATCATAGCCCTTATTCTACTTGTTTAAATAGTTATTCAAGTAAAAATAATGCTGAAAACTTGCATGATGTTACAAAAAAGTGTGGTGACGTTCATTATTCTTATTCTCATTCATATAAAAATCGTGGGGAACCACTAAAAGTCTAACAAAAAAATAGAGCATTTGATATAGAAATCCTAAGTGATGTATTAAAATTTAAATGTCACTTTTTCTACTTTTAAAGAAAAACTAGAATAGGTAGTTTTAATGAAGTGTGTCCAACAGTTTTCCCAAGCAGCACTTTAAGATATAGCAGGTGAAAGCGGCGGTTTTTATGAAAACTAAAATAAAATTGCTACGCGTGAACAAAGAGAGCTCATAAATGCAACCACATCACATGAACTATGTTGGCGCAATAAGTAACTCTATTCGTATAAAACAAAGTTCATATTTATATTGTCTTGGGTTTTTAGTGAACAAAACAGCGCCTGGTTTACGGATAGGATTGCAAACAGTTGCTGTGTCCAACGGTTATGATCCGCCGTTTCAGCAACACGCCAAATTTGGTCCCCCCATAAAAATAAAAAGCAAAGTAGTCTGGTATAACACGTGCTGTGAAGTTTATTTATTTCCACAAGATCCAGACAACGTCTTAGAAGCTCCTTAGAGACAAGTTTTTTAAGATGTTCTGAAAATGTATATTTTTTACAATGTATAGGTACTTAGTGTTACTGATTGGAAATCGTTTTATTTTATTCCGCTATAATTCGTATCAGCTCAATATCAAAACGTTCTTATTCTTAAGAATATTCGTAGTGAAGTTAAATAAACTAAATGTAATCAATATTTTTGCAAAATAATATAAAATAAACAAAAGTATCATAATATGTATATGTATATATTATTTTTTCTTTTGAGCGGTGATGTCATATACCCTTGACAGTTCATACTTAGATTGCTTAATTAGAATTACTATGCTTAATTTCACTTCAATTAGTGTCAAGTTGTAGGCGTATGGGTCCCGGCATAGAATGGATCACCCTTTCCCGTGGATATTTTAAGAGGCGACTGAGGGAACTTAATGGTCGAAGTATAAGCAGCAGCGAAAAAATATATATTTACTTTTATTTCGTTGATCAAAAATATAAAATACGAAATTATAGGGAACAGACAACAGACCCATTAATACAAGTTAAAGGCGGTAGAACAACAAAATAATAACGTCACTAATACTTAATAGGTGACACGAAAGAGCTTGGTGACCAATTAATTTTTGCTGAGGCCTCGGTTTATGTTTTCCCGGATAAATAAGGAGATTTAGCGGCGAGACCCGGAGCGGACTCGTAAAATAGCTAGCTCGTAACCAAGCGTGACCTATGACCAATCCCCTAACTAATGTTTCTCGATAATTTTATTTTCACCTTCCTCTTATTGCAGTTGTGTTTGTCACCTTAATATTGAATAATCTCAAATATTGTATGACTAAAGTGCAGTATCGATTTATATTATACAGACTTTAATACTTCAAGTAACCCGATATGCCTATAAGTCAGCTACCCTTAGAACATGTAAAATGCATGCCATATCTCGTACTTCTCTTGAAACTATGTAGTAATAATTATAAGTATAGTAAATTCCACTAATAATTACAAATCTAAAAATTTGATATTTGGAAATTTAAAAATTGTTACATAGTGATATTAATCATAGCTCTATGGTCTGATCAAGACCTAATTGAAAACAGGTTCCATTTAATCCCAATTCACAAAGTTATGCTTGCACAAAAATAGTTAAGAGATAAAAAATTTGTGCTTATACAACTGGTTGTATTCTCTAAAATATTATTACAATACTCACCATCACATCCAAAACGTTACCATCAACCGATAATCACTCATTGGAATCTATGTATCAAAACGTACAGTCCAGTTTTAGAAAAGTTTAAATACATTATACATGGAATTCATTTCCATGCATATTCATTTTTAATAAATATTTCTTATAAGTTTCTTATATATAAGTTTTAAGACTTTAGAATATCCATATATAAAATTCAATGCCTCAATGCATAAACCTGCATCGTATCAACAGGCATTCCGTTGCATTTTATTTTCATGGAAAGGCGATGAGGCCAGGCGATGACTAAATAATGACCAGGATAACGCAGTTTTATTGCCGCCTCCGTGTTGCGAATATATAAATGAAACCTCAAGGGAGTGTTAAAGACGCCGCCAAAGAACTCCTGTCGAAACAAGTCGGGCTCAGAGAAATGGCGCCGTAAACCTCCCCATCCGCTGAGACGTCATTTCGCGCTTTCCTCGAAACTGTTCCTTGGAATACAAAAAATAATAAGAATAATAATTGTGAAAACCTTTGAACAACTCACGTCAAATTCTATTTTCAAATTTGAATATGACGATTATTTTGGAAAGGTTCACTCTCTATTTATATATTCGAAACTATAATATTTTACGACTAGAGGTAATGAAATTTGAACAGTCTTTTCGAGGTAGGTAGGCAAACGTGCATTTAATACTAGACATTTACTGCTCGTTCGTTTATTTTTACCCTGTAAAATTACAACTAATTTTGTTACACAAATTATTCTTCCTTATGTGAGCAAATAGTTAACAATCATAAATGGAACATAAGTAGGCAACTGAATTTCGACATAAGAGAATATTAAAGTGCAAATAAGAACAAGAATTAGTTTACTTTATGCATTTAATAATAGCGGCTCGGAGAGCTCACTGCTCCAGTCCAAATTGTGATTCCACGGTGTTAAAATATTAAAACTTTAATTGTATTCCGACGCCCGACTCCATAGCCGTAAAGAAGCCGGCGGGGCGCTCCGTTGATACACTATTAATGCAATTGTTCGAAAACAGCGCAAGGCAATAAAATTTAGCCTTCAGGTAGAATATTCCGCCCCACTTCGCAGGCATAGCTATAATTTTTCGCATTGCGGATTTCAAGTACCTAGAGATATTTCAATGTTTTATTTTACATTCTTTACAAAAAAATATTTAGTCCATTTCAAAGATACAGCCGAATATAATCACTGTGGATGGTGACTACTTATATTTTAAGTATGCGTTTCTAATAGCACCAACGTTTAATTTACTAGTTCTATTATTAATAAAAAAAAAGCTATATATTTAATTTATCATAATTGCGTTCAAGGAGTTTGCAATTGCACAAAAAGAATACCCTTTTTTTCTGCAACTTCGAATGGCAAACAAGCTGACAGCCCATCTGATGGAAAGTGGTAACCGTCTCCTATAGACATGAACAGTACCGTGGACATAACAGATGGATGGTAATGGAATGGTAACCCCGACTGCGCTAATGGTATACTCTGGCGGGGCACCAGTGAGGGATGATACATGAGATTGAAAAGGCAAGTCAGTAGTTAGCCCATCGTGATGACTACACTTGAAATTTAGTACGATGTTTTCCAGGCGGAACCACGTGGAGATCGACCTGTTAGGGTATATTGTTAGCAATGGAAGTGCTAATCCGCATTACTAACAATCCCTTCCCCCCCGGACTCAGGTGTTATTCCTCTGTACCCTGTAAATTCACTGCCATATCCCACTCTTCAAACCGAATCATAACCATACAAACACAACTAACTGCTTAACGATAGAAGCGCGAATGGGACAGAATAATTATTCCGATAGTTTTAATCATTTGATGTGTCACCCTAAGTTCTTTACTTCTATATAAAATGTAGAATTTTTAAATTATATATACAAATTTTAAATATATATTATATTAACATAATATTACAATAATAGCATCTATTATTGTATAAATTATTTTTCCTACAAAAATGGAAGCTATATTTAGTAAGGTTACTATGACACTTTTGGTCATTCAAACTGTTATTTTAAATCTAACACACAAATTCTAAATATACCCTATCTCTATAAGTACTTTATGATATGCCCTGACATCTTAGATTAAGAACATACAACACATTCCTTAATCTAAACCTGACATCATCTCTTATCTGACAACTTGAGGATTTGATTGATTTAAAATAAAACAGAAAAATGCTGTCAATGATTATTTTATTTTGATAATTATTTTGTTGATATACTATCGTCTATAATAACAATAATAATTATTTACAAAAATCTAAACATTAAATAACATAATATATTCAACATATTAATGACTGATATTTCTACAATAATAGGAAATTAAATATATTTTCGAATAACATATTTTTTTTAATATATATAAAATTCTGTTACGACTTTTTGGCGACCCTTAAGTTTATGACCCGTTAGGGCTTTGTCGTTTTGTTCTTTTTCTACTTTCAATATGTTTATCACTAATACACGAATAGTGACATAAACATATTTATAACGCTAAAAATATCTAAGCATTCATGTACCTATATTTGCATTATCCATTAAATATGTCTTTGGCAATAATATAATAAATGTATGATTATTCCCCTATCTCCTCATTTTATCAAATTTCATACCTAGTTTATTCTCTGCTCCCACTTAATCTTAGACATAAACAACATTAATATTATGCTTACATGTATTTTAAATTTGTATAAAAAATAAATGTTAATACTTTTTGCAATTTACAATCCTTGCGAATCAATAGAATCAGGATTATTTATATTTGGCAATGATAACCTATTATTAAAAATAACACATTGAAATGCATCAACTACATTATTGTCAAGTCATTCACAATACCACGTGGTCCTTCGTATCTTCTTCTCTCCATTATTACGAACCTCGCCTGGTACTCCCCGAAGTGAGTTATCTAAAAAAATAACAAAAATATAATTACTGCGTATATCCACGGCAACAAAATAAATTTAGTAAATATTTACAAACACCAGGTCATTGAGATTTTATATTTATTTCAATTATAATATTTTTATATTAATATTGAACTAACAAGGGGATAAATTGTAAAAAACTTCACCGAAATCGGTTCAGAATTGGCGAAAATACATTATTTATCTTTAGGGTCTTTTTTTAGTTCTGAGTTCTAACAATATGATACAACGTGATACAATGTTTCACTTTCACATCAAAAAGAGGAAAGTTCATGATATTTTGGCCCATTCTGAACCAAATTTGCTAATTCTTTTACATTCAATATGGTTTATTTACATATCGTAAAAATATTTCCATAATTGAAGTCACAGTTTTTGTATAATAAAACCTTAAATTATTAATATTACCAAAAATTAAAAAAAAAGAACGTTACACATATCAATCTATATATTTTGTATTATCTTAGGTATGTATCTACTTAGATATGTCATATAAAAACGTAATATCAACAATAAAATATCATATGTCAGAGATAGGTCGGTTGAATCATACTACATTACATAATTTAAGGTTTTTTTTTAATAAAACCGTGCTTCAATCTTGACCATATTAGTATTAAACCATCAGAGAAAAAAACCTTACAAAATAATCATAAAAACACGTCTCAAAAACATAAAAAAAGAATAGTAAAAGCCAGAGAATCTTACATGAATATGATTCAAACACAATAACTAAATATTATATTAAACTGTGCAAAATACCACCATATACTAATTTAACTATTTTTGCCTTTGCATTAATTTGTCATGTTGTATCTGATATAAACTTTATATAAACTTGTAATACAACAAATTACATCCCAACTTATAATACCAAAAGTAGTTTAGAGATACGAACAGACTTCACGGATCTCACTGTGACGCTCATCATACTATTCCTACCATACTCTTGCATTCCTAAAGTATCATTTGTGAAAACTAAAGTGTTACATCCCATACACATTAATTTTACTACCACATCCCACTCCCTAAAACGACTTAACCATGCAAGCAGAGGCAAACGCTTATCCAAACAACTTTTGCACAAAATCTCCATGTGATAAATCTTTGTGATAATAAATTAAATAAACTATAATATATCTATATGTATTATTTTTTATAATTACATACAAAAAATACTCAATAGAAGCTTAAAAGAAAGAAAAACATCCAAATTATAATAATTAGAAGAAAATATCACCACCTTTGTACCGACTGTGTATTTAAGAAATGATGACAAACACACAGTCAGTAAAATGACTATTAATATAATAATAACAAAAAAAAGTAATAAGACAAACAGTTTATGAAACCCCTGAATACATTTCACACAGAAAAAGTAAGTACATAAAAATATGTTTAAGAAAAATGAATGGAAATAAGAAATGAATAGAGTGCAAGCATTGAAACAATACGGATTTCATGATGTCTGCGTCCAAAAGCTAAGGGAATATAGAGCCAAACCTTGTTTTAAATTAGATTGGAAGATTGCCTAAAGTTTACTGACCTACAAGCAAATCAGTGGTGCAACCTCACGATTACGAAACCGTCTAATAGACCTGGAGGAAAGATGTTTGTATAAAGCTACATAGTTATGTTATTAAGAAACCTAATTAAATATTTAGTTAAGAAATTAATACTATTTAATTCTGTATTAATACGAACGACTTCAATTATAAACGCACTGATATACAATGAGATGTTTCGTAGATAACCTACATTGTAAATATCTGTAGTTTTGTTCTTCAAAGAAAAACAACGGTTTTTTCCTCACTAAATTAAAATAGGACAAACACTGGAATATTTGTTCTTATCGATTTGAAAAAGAATTGTGAAAATCGGTTCATTGATTAAATTGGCATCGTAATCGTCGCAAAAAATAAAAAACAGATAAATTGAGATCACCTCTTCCTTTTGAAATTCACTTAAATAAACGACTGGACTAATTTGACTGTTTTTTAAATGCTCGTAAAAGTCGAATTATGGTGTTCAGGGAACGGCAAAAATTTTATTTGGATTGGAGAATCGGAATTGTAAGAAATCAAATGTCTGTACATTAGGAAATTTTACAGAAAAATTAACTACAGAGTTTAAAAATAAACAACGAAAACTAATTCGGGTGGAATCTATAGGTAGAAATGATACTTGTTTGTTTATTAACGCATTACTAAAAATGGCTTAATAAGAATATAAACAAATACACAATAAATTATTTCCACTACCATAAGTCGCGGACACAACCAGTGTATTTATTATAAAGAATAGAAAGAATATGGGCATGTACATATACAGAATTATTCGTAATAACCAAGCCAAAAACCCAATGATTTCATTTAATTGAACACCTTCACACCTTGGAGTCACCTTTAGTTAATAGACGAGAAATAAAAAAATATCTACTTTTTGTACAACTCGAACACTCACGTGACAATTTAAAATGAAAAGTTCTGAAAGTATTTTGAGATATCGATTGTTCTTCTTGTGACAAGTGATATAAATTAATGAATAACCACTATCAGTGGTTTTTGGCTTGATATGCTCATTACGATTAACCCTGCATAATTATAGACGAGATTCAGAAAATTTGAGTGTGTAAAATGTCTTTTGATATAAACGAACAATTGACATCTATTAGGTACATCACAATTTTGATAGAAATTTATATTACCTACACTTTGTATTTTATTATAATGGATTTGGATTTATTTCTTCTGTGTTAATTCTGAAAAACAAAAAAATATATAGGATATTATTGAAATATGTATGTTGTGTAATGCAAAAATAAAAAAAATATTTTGTACTAGAAGCTTTAACTAACCTATGTGAATAAAATTTAAATTGTGTAAGTACCTAATATGAGTACAACGGCGGTTTAGGCTGTTATTGTGTTGGTGTAATGATTCAATATGATCAAATGTACAATTAACATTTATCAAGCTTACGTACAATTTACATCGAAAGGTGCGCATCGGGCGCAACACATCACTTTATACAATACAATACAGTAAATAAAATTAAAATATTTTTTTCATATTAAAATTTTATATTGCACTAAACTTACACAACTTGGAATCTGGACGGATGTGCGCATAATCTATTATACTACTAGTTTCCAGATTGAATATTATTTTAAAATTATTGTAAAAATATTTTCAATTTCTCCAACGCATTAAAAAATGCACTCCGGTGCGCCAGGTGCGCCTTTCGGTGTATTTTCAACATTATAATATTATTTCATACAGCGAATTAAAAAAAAAGTATTTTCTTTCCTACTCTTATATACATTTAAATCACATACAATATATTTTAGAGTTTTACTCTTCATTTAAAAGTTTCGTCTTGTCGGTACAACTAATTCATGCATTTTCTTCCAGGCAGCTCTATTCCATGCCATATATTTGACCTCCCCATACGACATGATACCTAGCGTTTCCTTTGTCTGTTCCATGTAGTTATTCCTCGGCCTTCCTTTTCCTCTTTTGTCCTCTATTTTTCCTTCTACTATACTCTTTAAAAAATCGTCATATGGTATAAAGTGGCCCAGCATTTTGCTTCGCCTATTCTCTATTGTTCAATTTCTATGGCAGTAAAATCCGCAAAATTTTAAAAATAATGCAATGAATTATCGTACTATGAATAATATGGTAATTCATATACATACACATTTTAATCTCATAATTACACAGATGTCTCTACTGACCTATAAACTGCTAAAATCTAAAAGATTATTTTTACATTATTTATACGATTGCATCTAAAAATGATATGTACTATACATAATTTCTGAACAAATATGTGATTTAGGCGTGCACAAACATAGATTTTAAGAAAAAACCATCTGAAACGGAAGATAGTAAATTCCACGCAAATGCAGTGAATAATGTAAAAGAAGCCTACACAGATTAATGTTTAGTATTATATTCCAATCTAAATAAATTCAGTTAATCTGATAAGAAGGAAAACATTTTGCCTACTTACATTTATCATCGTTTCTGCCGTCACTGTCGTCGGACTGTTGCGTATTCATCGAAATCGTCGAGATCCGTTTCTTGCGCTGCTCCATCAACAGTTCTGAAATGAGACCATTGTTTTTATATAATAAATATAATATGTAATGATGTTTGAGTTCACTTACTGTATAAACGATTTTTTTTTCTTCGAGTAATCCGATCGATTTTACTTTTTAATTACCCGGTAAATTAAAACAAAATTATTATAAATTCGTCACCGGAATAAATCTTAGTATAGATATCTTCAAAAATACGAATACATCTAGGACAAATTATAACAACTTATAGATATTAAGATCGATTCTGAGATAGGTTTAGAGAAAGACGCCTTAAAATCGGGCCTGTTTGTTATCGGGAACTAATTGTAAATATAATTAAATGTTATTATACAAAAATACCATGCCACGATATTCGTTCACGCTAATCTCAGAAACCGCTCGACCGATTTTAATGACATTTTGTGTTTATTATCTGTTCCAATTTGAGACATATCATAGTTTTTAGACCGATATATGATAAAAAAAGCTGGTGTGTTTGTATAGGTTTGTACAATGTTGGCCCGATCTGCTATATTTCGTAGTATATTTTCATTATGTACACCTATTATTCATGTTTCACTTATTGAAATGATAATTTACATCTCATTATAATAAAAAGGATTTCAACACTAATCACCATTAAAATCATTAGAACAAGAAAATTGTATCAACATAAGTGCCAAGTCCCTATCAGTCTAAACCGCACCTGCCTAAGTAGGTTTACTGATAAACCTCAAGCCCGATAAGAAGTACCTGCGTTCCACGAAATGTTGCGACATATTTACAATTAATATTCAGATTCAAATATGAGAAATACGAATTTAGAAACGTAATATCCTAACCAATATTATAAACGTGAGAGTGAGTTTGTTTGATTGTTACCTTGCGTTATACACTTACTATATGAGATGGAGAAGGATATAGCCTACTATTTATCCGGATCAGAAAACATATCTCGGTCACGCAAACAAAATCACGGGTAAAAGCTAGTCTTTTATAGTCCTATAACATACGAGTACTAGGTAAAAAATTTAATCTAATATCTGATAATTAAATGCGTTTATCGGTTTATATATCTTTTTTAATGTTTGTTATAAATTAACGCATAATAAATACAAACTATTCTAACAATGTATTGTCATCAATACACCTGTTACCCCCGTGACTGTCGTAACAGTCGACTAAGAGAAGGTGAAGGATGGGCAACAGCGTCATTTTTAAAACACAGACAAAACTGCCCTTATGAGGAAGACTTATGTTCAGCAGTGGACTGTTAGCGGCTAAAATAATAATGGTTATCATTCTTCATTATTAGTATTTAAGGTTATGAATTAAATTGCACTATGACGAAGAACTAACACAATGGTTATCAGTAATGTATTGTTTGAATAGTTTCTCCATATCAAACCGAGGAATTATTGTTCAGTACCTCTACTAATGATATGGGAAGGATTACACTTGCAGTAACACATCTTTCAACACCAATATGTATTATTTCACTTTATTTAATAATCGATACTTTTCAATAAAACATAATGCATGTATATTCAGTAGAGAAAGATTCCCTGCAGACAGCAAGATTTTATGACTAAAACTAGAATAAATTTCTAATATACTTGTAATTAAACAAGTTATTTTTATTTAAAAACTAAACTACTAAACCATTTTTGACAAAATTTGTATGAGGCCAATCTGTAAGTATATTTTTTCACATAAAAAATTAATCAAATCAGTTTACAATCGACGGAGTAATAAAGTAACAAACACACGACAAAATGCAACCGAATTGAGAACCTTCTTCATTTTGAAAACAGCAACGTCTATTGTAAGAATTTTTTTTTAATGTGTGATATTGACATGGTAACCCCGTCTGCGCTATCGGTATACACTGGCGGGGCACCAGTGATAGATGACTGATGAGGATAAAATCAGGTCAGTTAGCCGATCCTGACGAATTCAACTGGAATAAGACAAGATGGTTTCCAGGGGCAACCACGTGGAGGTCGACTTGCCAGGATATATTACTAGTAATGGAGCTATATGACCCCATTACTAACGATACCTTCACTCTCCCCCTTGTAAGAAAATTAATATAATTAATACAAGAAAAAAAATTGATAAAAGTCGATTTAAAATTGGCAAAAATATAAAGTAACAAAACAAAAACAATTTAAGAAACCCTGCCTTTCTTCTTTTTTAGTCTCTTAAAATATGGAGAAGAAATAATTACAAATAAGCAACACACACGTGATATTCCTAAGAAGTTTAAACTCTACATGAACGGAATTTGCTATGAACCCGCCGGAGTGCCATAGGAAAAATAGATGACCAATTATATTATATTACAATACTTTTATATTTTTTCTCACTTTCCCTTTAAATTTCTTATCCATGCTGGTCACTTCGTTTGAGACATAGTTGGTTTTCTTTGCTCTTTTAATACAGTTAATTTATTTGATATAATAATATTTTATATATTTATGTATGTGTATTATGTATGTGTTTGTATTAGTCCAATTATATGTTTATAATGTATAAATATGTTAAATATTAGTTCATATTTTCTTAATTCTTCAACGCAGTGCCTACCCATTTCTCTGTTTACAATATGATTGACTGGTAGAGATTACAAATATACATTACACTATGCATTAAATTTTTAATAAAATATTCAAACTTGTCATGACTCCCAATAATGAGGTTTCCGACGAAAGCAGTTGTACCTTTAACTTTTATATTAATAGACAACAAAATTATCTGATAAAGAGGTTTATTTTTATGGTTTCGTTTATTTAACACGTTATCAAACTACTTGTAACACTATAAAGATTATACTCCGTCTACTAAACGAAGATAAAGAGATTTATACATTATGTATAATATTTTTAAAATAATCTTATACCAGTGGTCAATCCGTGGTCAAAATACAACCATAACATATATTGTAATAAATGAATTTATTATGGTTATATTTGACATTCAGTAAGACTATAGACAAATAATATTAAAGACAATATTAATCTATTCTCAATCTAACCACAAACTTTAACAATAAACAAAAGAGCGTATATGTATGCGTGTGTCAAATACATGCAAGTGTGTGTAATGATGTTTTTTTATTGTTTTAATATATTTTTATGCATAATTTAAAAGAAAATTAGCATTCTGCACTCCTTCTAAATATAAACTAAGTGTCCCAAATTTCATACTCCTCCGTCCGAGCTATTTTAGTAAAAAAGGGTACAAAGTTTTTTACTTCACGTATTGATATATAGATAGCTTGTAGTTAATATTTTATTTGAAATTACACTTTGTTACAAACAAGATTATTTTAATAAAACTTTAACATAAAAAGTATTTTGCATTTGTAATACGAGTAATAGATTAGGATGTACTTTGTATCGATGCTATTGTAATTTAATATCCTTATAAATTGCTATTACGAATAGGGACTAAAGCAATTTGTTGACGGCACGAGTAACCGGTCTACAAATAGAAGTAGCATGATCTAAAGAGATATGAAAGAGCAAATAGTCTCTTTGTCATAGTAAAAGAAAATATTATAATCGATAGTAAATCAAATAAAATTTATAATATTTATATAAGTACACTAATCAAATACTCCAATACAGTAATCACAAGCATACTTACGTGACTGACTCATTTACAAATCACGACATGTTTTCCAATGTGTTTCACACTAGACAAAAGGCTATTGTACTATTTGAGGAAATGGCAATTGTCCCTAAATAGCCATGTGGTAACAAAGAAAAGCGTTACCAGAAAGATTTAAATGCCAGTTTACTCTTATCTGAATAATCTCCGCGAGGAATGTGGAATGGTAAAAGCGCGAGTCAGAGACGATCGCACTTTCGTTGTAACGTTTGCAGCGTTCCCTTGTGTAATTATCAGAAAGGAACGGTCGTTTGCGCGGAATAATAGTACTTACAACACATTTCAATGCAATAAATAGTAAACAAAACAGAATAATTAAGTAGCAAAGCGTGCGACCTTTTCTCTTTATTAGCAGAGTTTCAGCGGTCTCGATATCGCAATGGTTCAGTAAGATTTTTTCGCATGTGACGATGTTAATGTAAATAAAGTATCGAATATAATGTTCTCAAATATGGGCATTCAAAACACCAAAATTAGATGTTCAGTCTTCAGATATATATTGTTCAAATATTCTACACGTTCCTTTAAGAACAAAAAGTAACTAAATGTATTGTTGTTATATTATAAAAATATACAAAAAATTATATATATTTGCCGTATCGTCTGAGCTAAACATAAAGAAGAAGAAGGAGAAATTGTTTTATAAATATAGATTGCAGATACTGTTTCTTTCTTAATAAAACCCTACATTGCATAAAAAACCTAACTTCAAACTTTTATTCTGCTATTTTATTACACTAGAACACACTTACACATAAGCAAAATTGTTCAATAAAAACGAGCAACAAATGCAAGATACAAATCGAATAGAAAAAAATATTTCCGGCGCGTTCCCACAGATGCAGCTCAGTGCACATGCAAGTCGACAAGTGTCCAATAAAAAACACAGTCGTCGACCCCGAGTGCGTCAGACATCAGTGACGATAAAGAACCTCGCAGTTCTTCCGTCACGCACGAGCACAGGGAGCAGATGACGATCAATTAAAAAGTTTGTTCGCATTAACTATGCGGGATTAGTTCGGTTAGGCTTGCGTGCCAGATGGATTCAACAAGTTTCTTTATGAGAAATAGGCTCGACTCAACTTCGGCCAGGAGTCTCGATGGACAGAGGTCACCGACCGAGCATTAACTATACGAATAGCCCTCAAGATTATATTGCTTGTATTAATATTATCTATATTATTGCCTTTATGATCGAGTAACATTCCGTTTATACATTTACATCCACAATGAACATATTAGAATTACTTTATGTTAGTAATAGTCAGGCTAACATTCTCATAACAACATTAACCAGGCTAGAGTAATGCTGTAACTCTCTCAAATACTCCCAATACTGTATAACTCAGTACAATGCTAGTTATTTCGTTGCATAATACCTAAGCTATTCATCGTTACTCGAATATTGTTCAACATATTATGGTTCTAACTTCTAGAATTTACCACAATACAAGGTTTACAAGAATATTAACGAGCGATCGTAAACACGTAAAATCCTTGAGCTAAAATACATCGAAAGAATCTATAAATAAAAGGTTACAATTGAACTATTGCAAGTATCAAAGTCCCGTGTCACAATATTCGTTTACGCTGATCTCCATAACCGCCTTACAGATTTTAATGAAACTTTATAAACGTGTCTTGTTTGCTACAACTTAAAAGATATAATAGCTCTTATCAAGATAAAGAAAATAGACTCGGTAAATGATGGCAAAATAACATTTGCCGGGACAGCTAAGTGCCTAAGTAATTTAAATTAGTCAATATTTTTAGATTCTAATGCTCAGACAAGAATGTTGTAATTTGTTAAAAAAAAAAATCCACTAGAAACTCGAGAGCTATTTTTTTAGATTAAAAAATACGAATATAATAATTTACCTTAAGTAATTAGTTATTCAGATAAATTGTTTTATTAACTAAGTAAATAAAAGGTAATAAAAGGGCTAGAACGACTTCAACTGATAAATGTTACCTTGATAAAAATCTATAAGATTCTTTCCTTATAAAAGAAGGTCATGTCCAATTAAACTACAATTAAAACTGTTTAATGCAAGGAGATTATTGAGATATAAATAAAAACATACAGTTTCTTATCATAAGATTTTCACTACTCATCTTTCATGGTAGATCGATCCATGACCTTCAGTATAAATATGACAATACATACAACAAACATAGTAGCCAATCACATGATAATCAAATACGTCAGCATAAATATACATTTTGTAGGTTATCTTCATATAGGTTTGTAGATTAGATGACTCAATGACGTATAAACAACTGTAAATCACCGTCCTGTATGTATAATAATACTTTCTTATTTTTTGGACAATGATAATTTGTCACAAATGTTGCAACTATTTTGCGTAATTTTACAACAATTAAATTAAATTATTTCAATCTTACAACACTAACAACCTCACATCTTAACTGAACTTCATTTATAACACACTGTTGGTCTACTATGGAACGTAATTTACCTCAATTGGGCCCATAAACGGAGGGATGTTTTATCGTTACAAGCCCCGTCATAAAGTGTCTAAATGACCTAAAATAAACCACAATGACAACATTTTATTCATTCGTGATATTAATAACAAGTTAATATTTCATTTGGCAACACAATTTCTACAATTTTTATTAATTTGTCATAATACTCTAAAATCTAAAATTCTTACTGCGTTCGAATATGCTAAAAACTACATATTGCTCAGTAAATGAGTCAATAACATTACAACGCTCAGTAAAAAATAACAACTAGAAAAATGGACTACTCAAAATGAAATTTATGCGACTGAATTTCTATTTTTATGTGTATAAAAATATTAAATAACTAATAGCCTAACAAATATTTTTTTTTATAGGTGATAATGAAATAGTAACCCCACCCGCGCTATCGGTATACGCTGATAGGGCACCAGTGAAGGATGATAGACAAGGATGAAACAGGTAAGTTAGGCCATCGTGACGAATTCAACGAGAATTGTTCACGATGGTTTCCAGGGGGAACTACGCGGAGGTTGACCTGATAGGGCATATTGCTAGCAATGGGGCTGTCAAACTCCATTGCTAACAATCCCTTCCCCCCCCCCCCCAAATAATAATATTTACCTATATATATAAACAACACTTGAACACCTTTGAATACATTATTCCGCTCATGACGCGCCTCATGCGTCGCCTCTTCTGATTACACAGTACTTCATTACCCAATTATCTATGTAAACTTCTATAACTATATTTTAATGTAATAACTACCGATTTAACTATATGATTATTCTATAACTATTATGAATATATTTTATTTCAGATTACTTACCTTTTTTTTGCATAGCCTGCTCCCAAAGCAATGTAGTGATTTCTTCCACCCACGCTGCTCTGACGGCTGTGTCACTGGTTTCCAGCTTGTAGGACTTGAGGTTTCTCTTCTTGTACCATATAGAGAATTTAAAGTGATCTTCTACTTTTGCCGTGATACCTAGATCATCCACAGGTATGTGGTCTTTGTACATGAAGCACTCCACTCTTGGGCTCTGAAATTATAACAATACAACAACAAATAAATTTTTCGTTATCAATATTATCTGATATTTTTCCAATTAAATCTTTTATATCAAATTAGTACGGTGTATTATTATTGATATTTGAAAGAACCTTATGACCTATTTAAAAAAAATTGTTAATAAAACTATCAAAAAAAATACACATTTGTCCAAATTTCGTGCCTGCCACGTTACATTCAAACATTCTTGTAAAATTAAACATATGGAATATTAGATATAATATACAATAGCAACTGTCAAACAATGACTACCTATCTAAACATACATATATACATATCTATCACGCTCTACTCTACTCTCATACTAATCGTACCTACCTGAAATTTCTTTAAAATATGAGAATCACTATCCTATACCCGCGTCTTCTATGTTATGGTCTGATCTTATATGTTCATTGACCTAGATAAAAAGTACATGTATGTCACATTTCATAACGATTGGTTAAACCGTTAAAGCACTAAGAGGTAACATACTTTCCCATTTATAGTAATAGTAAAGAAATCGCAATAATTACTACGCGTTATCAAGAATTTTTTTAATAAAAATAATTATCAAAAATTTTTCGACGTAATCGCAATTTGAACATGCATCTTTTACGCCATTCCGAGGCCAGTGCTCTTACCGGTTGAGTTGCCGCTTCCGCTCGAGTTCGAACACCATTTTGAAATTTTTTCAATCATACTCGTGGAATAAATTTTCTTTTTTTAATAGTGTTTCTAGAACAATTTGCAATAAACATAATGCCTAGTGTCTAATCATGCATACAGGAAGAGAACCACCATTCTGGATGGTTATTCCATTTTTTACATCACAATCATTCAAATCTTATTACACAGTTCATCCATCTTGTTATATACGTACACTACATAGGTATTCCTTATATTTTTCTTTTACTACTTCATATGGTTTTTAGGATTCAGTATCAAAAAGGATCCTATGGTGTGGCTTTGTCTATCCGTCCGTCCGTCCGTGCGTCCGTCTGCCAAATCATAATATCTCAGCAACTACTGATGCTATCAATTTGAAATAGTTTTAGATTTTTAACTTACATATATCCCAATAGAAATAATTGAAAAAAAAATTATATTCTTTGTTAAGAGTTCATAAAAGGGGTATTACAATTTTAAAATAAGATCACTAGACCACTTGGAGTATGAAGAATAACTATATAACATAAAATGTACAACTCAAGGAGCTTCATAAGACTTATGATAGAAAATGTAAAAAAAAATTACCAGTCCCCATACATTGCAAACATAGGAGATGAGGAACCATCTCCTACCTTTACGGAGTCAAATAAGTCAAATGATTACAGTTTATATGATGATATATATGAATATTATAGGAAAACTATAACGATGTTTCTAATTAGCACAGTTTTATATATATATATATATATCAAAAAGCCTCAACAAACATAGTAAGTGGTGGAATTTTTAGCCACAGTCATGGTTTAAGATATTCCTAACTTAACTGAAATTTTAACTTGGATACACAAAATGGATACATAGTTATTATACATACAAGAAGTACAATATATAAGTATATGATACACATATATTTTTATTTAAAGAAATTAAAAACCTATTTACAGATTACAGATATGTATGTACGGAACCCTAGGCGAGTGAGTCCAACTCATACTTGACCGGGTTTTAAGTACATTCTATACGTTACTCAACATGTTGACAGTGAGCCTTGTTGCGTCATGCCCTCATGCCACCCATATTTACTAAGCTTGCTTTTAATGTCGTATTGTGTGTTTGCATTGTAATATATCTTTTTCTTGTCATATATATTGAATGTATATAATATAGATAGATAAGTAGATAAACACTCTTTATTGTTTCCTCCAAAAGATTACTATAGTAAACTTATTGTAGATACAAACAATTACAATAAATGAATAATTGAAGAAACAATGATTAAATTAATACTATTTGAAATGTCTTATTTTTTCAAATAGTATCTAACACTGTCGCTCTGTCCGTTTCACTACATCTTCTAAACCAAGCAACGTACTTTAATACGGGTTTTATGTCATTCAGATATTTTTTAAGGAAAATTTGTATGTGGGATATGCATCTATGGTATACGAGGTTTGTCCGGAAAGTACGTATAAAAGTTTTTTAAAATTTTTATTTTACAATTATTCAGGTAAATCAATTTTATCCCCTTCAAAGTACTCCCCCTGTGACATAATGCACTTGTGCCAACGCCGTTTCCACTGTGAGAAGGCTCCTTGAAAGTCCTCTGGTTGTAGGTTTCTCAGCTGCCCCGTCGTAGCTTTTTTTATCTCATTTATGTCCCCCAAATGCCGCCCCCGAACTACCAATTTGGTTTTTGGGAACAATAAGAATACACACGGGGCCAAATCCGGCGAATAGGGGGGTGTTCGGTCACCGTAATGGAATTTTTACTCAAAAACTCACGGAACGATCTTGGCGCAAATTTTTTTCATTTGAAGTTCGTTTCTTAGAATTTCGTGGACCACGGTTTTGCCCAAATTAAGCTCTTCAGCCACCTGTCTGACCGTTAAACGACGGTCCCCATTAACACAAGTTCGAATTCTTTCCACGTTTTCGTCGGAATGTGAAGTGGAAGGACGTCCTGAACGTGGGTCATCTTGAACGCTTTCTCGGCCCTCTCTGAATCTTTTTAGCCACTTGTGGACGGTTGGTTCCTTCACAGCATCATCCCCATAAACTGTTCTGAGATCGGCAAAAATTTCACGGCCATTCTTGCCGAGTTTCGAGAGAAACTTGATTACGACGCGCTGCTCTTCAACGGAAGCGGGCTCCATGCCGACGGGGTTTCGTTAAGAGGTAACTTCACAGATGGCGTGACAAGCCAGTTCGCACCGCACGGCGGTCAGACCAGAACTGAAGCATTGTTAGGGACATAAGGAAGGGGTCCTGCGCTTACCTGGCCTCCCCACTCCTCTTTCTCGCATTCCAGAACACTTTTATACGAACTTTCCGGACAGACCTCGTAGTATACAATGGGGTGACTTCTGGTGTCTCTAAACCTCTCTTAACCAGATAATTTAATTTGATATTTTCGAGAAATTATTATTTTATGGACCATTATAAACTAAATATGTAACATGTTTTTACTAATTTTTTTTACCAAAATGGTCACTGTAGCCAATAGACGCCTGCAATACTAGGAGCGTCACGTGCGCGTTGCTGTTACTGAAGAAACCTTAATACAACCCTTTTAAAAGAATCTTTGAATCTATTAGAAATGTAACTCATATTGATCCTTAGAATAAATATTCCGCTGTGATCAATAATAGGTAGTTTAAAAAGATATATAGATAGAAAAATGTCACCTCAGAATTTACCCCGATATCATTTTTTTAACTTGTAATAAAATTTTATACAAATTAAAGGATTTAATCACATTTAATCTCCCATAAAACACCTATTATGGTATTATTATTTTTTATGATACTTAAAGAAGCAAAAAATGTGACGACCCGACCAAAAGCAGTAACCGTCGCCTATAGACATGAACAGCAACATGGGCATGACAAAATACACTACTGTAACGCCCACGGTGCCTCTCATGTGTTAATTTCTAACAACTATTATGTTATGCCTCCTTATTCTGTAATGTTACTACCGTTTTATATTCTTCATGAATCTTGTATCATTTTCGTTGTATGGCTATGAGATTACCGACACAAATTATTGTCACGTATTATAAATGCGAGATGAGAACTCAAAATATAATGAAAAAATACAACATAATTACTTTCCTCTATTTAATAAAGCACCGCCTACTGATTTCTCGATTTGCCCAATGGCTGACTAGTAGAGAACACCGTCCGGTAAGTCGGTCAAATATACATAGAGTTTTACTGTGCATTAAAGTTTAAATAAATAAATATATGTTAGCCAGTGGACCTTGCATAGAATGGGCCACCACTTCCTTTCACGTGGGTGTCGTAAGAGGCGACTAAGAGAACTTAATTGCCGAGTCGAACATCACTAAAGCCTGACTGCGGTTGCCAGCCCGTCTGCCAAGCATAACAACTACTGGCCAAAACCCCAGGGAAGCCGGGGGTGGGGGGGGGGGGGGGGGTAGACAGTTAATGGCTGATATGATGATGATGAATTATTTGTTAGTCTCTTCTAATACACATTGCATCACATTATTTTAAAGAAGTATTCTACTCCCTCTCTCTCTCTAACATCTGTAATTTGTTGTATTTATTTAAATTGATAACGGATACAATAACAACAATAGAATTGAAATAATAAATTAAATAAATATTAAAATAACACATTGCATCACAGTATTTTAAAGAAGTGTTCTACTCCCTCTCTCTCTCTCTCTCTCTAACATCTGTAATTTGTTGTATTTATTTAAATTGATAACGCATACAATAACAACAATAGAATTTATTGCTTTTGAATTGTATGAAATCATATGTGCCGGGAAAACAAGATTCATCCTCCAAGAAACATAAACCAATAAACAACAAAAAAATTATGTAAGTTTTCCAAAATACCAATGGTTTAATTTCTCCATGTACAGTTTAATTTAACTCAAGAATAGTGTTGTGATACTGATCAATTCAACCAACCTCGAATGGCATATTTGATACAACACACAACAAAGCGAACATTCTCACGTATTACGTTCATTAGACTTCCTGTGTCAACAAACAACTGAAACCGACGGCGCGTGGTAAATTAGCGCGGCATTGAGAAGGTCACTGGCTCTCACCATGCGTTGACATATTACAACAAACAATCGTTTAAAAATTCTATGCACCCAGCATTTGTATATTTCCAAAAATTAAACATTTTCACCAAAAAAGAACTATATCCTTGTATCTTTTACAACGTTTATATTTTTTATATGCAATAAACCAGCTCACGGACCGCCTGATAGAAAGTGGTAACTGGTGCATAAGATATGAACAATACCGCGCCACTGAATAGACTGTCACGTGGACTATGACATGGGCATCAAAAAATTAAATTGCAATGCCCTTGAGTATTCATATAAACTACAATAACATAATTAATTTAATACGATTAACTTAAATCAATACTCTCAAGTATAACATTTCCCAACAAACATATGGTCCATCTGACGGTAAACGTAACAGCAGGGATGTCACGCATCCGTTCGCGTTGCCAACCCTATAGTCATTTTCGTAAATTCATATTCATTAAAATGTGATAATGGATAAATTTTAAACCTCTCATAACTACCCAATTAGACAACTTAAGGTGGTAGGTCATTACACAAAATTGGACACGAAATACTAATCGATACTTGTGGCTTTTCTTGATTATTTTGTAATTAAAGATAATTAGAGGCAAAATTTCTAAATTAGCGAGTGGTTATTAATGTTATGTATGAATGTGAAATGACAGACAATACGTCATCTTTTCCTAAATAAATTATAACCTACACAATCGCAATGTTTCTTGCTAGTGTATGTTTTTTACAAAGTTGTACAATATAAGAGAATAAAGACAAATATTATGATAAATTGTTACTATATCGATAAAAAATAAATGAAATAATTAGAGAATTTAAAAATTTTGCCTTAAATTGTCTTTAATTACAAAATAATCAACAAAAACCACTAGTCTCTTTTCTAGCGCCATCTAGTATTTCATGTGCAATTTTATTTAATGACCAACTACTATGACCACAGTTATGTCTCGTCATTAATTGGCATTGAAAAAAAAAAAAAAAAAAATATATATATATATATATATATATATATATATATATATATATATATATATATATATATATATATATATATATATATATATGAGATATTAATCTAGAATTACGAGTTATTCGGATATTAAATTTTATTTAAATCCATTCAGCCTATCTATATATTACATTTATTATTAACATTACTAATTGTTTTAATGCTTAATTCAATCAAAATTTATACTTTTTATTTATTCAATATTTGCATCCCTATTTATGAGAACGTATTGTTGACATCAATATACTTATCATGTTTCTTGTAAATAAATATTCATTCATTCAAATATTAATTCGATATTATTCCATTAATCTTGATTGTAACAAACATCAGAATAACCCATAAATATAACCATATTACTAGTGCGACACTAACTATATCAAATTTAGATTCCTTATGACGCAAAACAGCGCACTAATTATATCAGTAAGTGCCACTCAGATCTTTAAATAGGTATAGTATCTTCCACTTAAACTTACATCACAATAATTATGTCTACCGCAGAGAAATGTACTTATAACTTAAACATATATAGAGCACGCGCCATTGCCCTAGCATTCTGGCGCCAACTGTTTACCGAACCTATTAAATAGTCCTGACATAAGTACAATATAAGTACTTACTTCATTATATAATAATTATAGATTTTAAATAAAAAAAAATATGACAATAAGTAGTTTGTATTTACTACAAAAAAAATTAAACCTGCAATAGACAGGAGTTCAAAACATGTTTAGACGTCATACTACTAAAGAATGTCCAAAATCTGTTCATGTCTAAACAAACGACTGTCTGTCTCGTCAAAAATAAAAAAGTCAAATAATAAATTTTATTGCAATTGTTTTAACATAAATTTTGTTATTAGTTATTGATTATTCACATGTAAAATTACAAATAAATATTACTACATTGGCTAAGCAATATTAAATCATTTAAATGAAGTTTTATTAAACATTAATTAGATAGGTCGTATTTTAATTAATTTTTGTGGTAACACCGAAATTGTTTACGGTAACAGTCGACAAATCTATCTGGCTACAACTAAAGATTATAATCATGAAACCATTATCTTTATACAATTATATGTAAGTAATGGGTATATTATACTGCTACATAGTATTTCCCATGAATACTCATTGGTCCTTATCACAGGATAGGTACAGACACAGGCAATAATTGTTTGCATAAAATAATATGCGCTAATTCATTGTGTTATTGATAATGAAATGATTCATTAGTAAATCGTGAAAATGTCATATACATATACATGACTCACTGTTAATTTTATTATTTTTAAATTTACCATTGTTTGATAAAGTTAGTTTAAACTAAAAGCCAAATAGAACGGTAAACAGAGAGATAAACTAGATAAAGTAAAACAAAAAGACGCCAAGTTTCAACAAGCGGGAAGTGAGACATCATGGTTTCAATTTTTCTAGAAACTTCTAACTTTAAAACTTCCCACAGTTACGATATTATTACTGAGGACTTCATATATTGTGCTATATATGAAGTAAATAATTTTATTAATCCTATAAATTTTCGTAGAATCTTTTAGAAGAAAAAAATATTCAATTTTATTTTTTAATTATTTCATTATAATTTCAACTCAACGTCAGCGCAGTACATATGATAAAAACGTCTTACAATTCAAATTGGATTAAAAGAATCCCTACAAAAGAAACAGATACTTGCTACAATACTATGTATAATTACGAACTAGCTCCAGCAACGAGTATTAGAATAAATATTAAAACAATATATGAATGAAAATCACTAGAAGAGAACTCTTGCAGAGTTAAAATCGCTTGCAATGTAAATAAAGTGTAATGAATAAATAAATAAATTTAAACATTTACCAACCTTTCTATACACTACGGTGATCAGAACCAGTTTATCGAACAGGAATATTCTTACAAGCTGTCTTCGCCGTCGAACGACGTCCATCGCATAAAATTCATTTTGTCGCAGCAAGCGTCCTTGTTGCAACAGATTCAGCTCAGCCTGAAAACCAATACAACAGATTAAAAATTACTTGCAACAAGCAAACATTAAAAAAAAATGTAATTTCAATATCCCGATTCTTAGATCGACATTATATAAATCGACGGCATGTCTATTATAAACTTTTTCAAAATTTTAAAGCCGACGAAATTTGATGTGACGAAAAATTTTTTGTCAAAATATGTGTCTTTCAGACACATTACGTCTTTTAGACTTTAAGACAAATAAAACATGTTAGCTCTCCTTATGTGTTAGCACAAATCAATTCATATATTACTTGTTATCAAAATTTTCGTCCCATGTCCGAAAATTTTTAATTACATTTCATAGTAGATGGTAGATTTCATGGTAACCAGGTTGATTATATCTATGCCTAATAAAGTTCTGTTTAGTGTTTCGGGGATTTTTCATATTTTTAATTTATCGATTAATTGTTAATAAAGCAGGATTTTTCTTTAATGATAGCAATGTGGGATGGCAGGCCAACACCAGTTAGTACATTACATAATAACACTAAATAAATATTTTGTGGGGAACTCCAAATCATTATCATTATTAAACATGGCGAATCGTGTATGGCGTATTGTAATAACTATTGTATTATTACGTGTCCATGACACAGCATTTGTTAATTCATTCAAATAAAGTAACTACTATATATTTTTAGTAGGTTTTATAGAACATTTTTTTAATGCAATAAAACAATGGTTCATCTTGAAATATAAGTAAATACTACTAATATTATGAATGTGATAATTTAAAACTATGTCAAATGGATTTAAATAAAGATTAATGCAGAGAAATTTGCGGGATACAATACTAAAGAACTACTAAGTAAATCACTATTATTAAACCTAGATATAAAACGAATTTGTAGCAACACACACTAACTACGCCATTACTATACTCTTCTTCTTTCTCTGTCCGCTCCAAATCCTTTTCTGTGCAAGTAGTTTGTTTATGAAACTCACTCCCTATATCTATACGGCGCGCTCAATTCCTGGCTATTTTATTTAAAAACTTAGGTAAATTCCACTACCTTAAACTATACCTGCTATCTATCCCTAAAATCACTTGATCATCCTTCATGCTTACTAATATTCCGTGTTATATATGTATATCAGTATTGTGTACGTATACATTTATATCACCGTGTGATCCCGACCTAGAATAGGCCCCCTTTTCTTACACGTGGATATCGTAAGAGGCGACTAAGGGAATATAATAGTCGATAGATAAGCAGCAAGATCCTTCTTAAAACATCATCAAAGCCTAACTGCGGCTGCCAACCTGCCTGCCAAGTATGGCAACTACTGGCAAAATCTACAAGGGGGGGCCTATGTTCAGCAGTGGACAGCTTACGGCTGATATGATGATGATCATACCTTTGTGTATTATAATTATGTATAGTTATAAATGTACCTATCTACGATATTTAGCTTAACATCATTTTAACGCATCACCTACCCATTCATTCTTTAATATACGAGGTTTGTCCGGAAAGTACGTATAAAAGTTTTTTAAAAATTTTATTTTACAATTATTCAGGTAAATCAATTTTATCCCCTTCAAAGTACTCCCCCTGTGACATAATGCACTTGTGCCAACGCCGTTTCCACTGTGAGAAGGCTCCTTGAAAGTCCTCTGGTTGTAGGTTTCTCAGCTACCCCGTCGTAGCTTTTTTTATCTCATTTATGTCCCCCAAATGCCGCCCCCGAAGTACCAATTTGGTTTTTGGGAACAAGAAGAAGTCACACGGGGCCAAATCCGGCGAATAGGGGGGTGTTCGGTCACCGTAATGGAATTTTTATCAAAAACTCACGGACAACAAGAGAGGTGTGGGCAGGGGCATTGTCGTGGTGAAGAATCCAACGCCCCTCTCGCGCCAATTCTGGACGAACTCGTGCCACACGAGCTTTGAGGCGTCTGAGCACATCGACGTAGAATTTTCCATCAACTGTCTGGCCTGGAGGGACGAATTCTTGATGGACAATCCCCCGAACATCGAAAAAAACAATCAACATTGTCTTGACATTTGAGCGGGATTTTCTTGATTTTTTTGTTCGTGGTTCCCCGGATGTCTTATCGAATTAGATCGGCAAAAATTTCACGGCCATTCTTGCCGAGTTTCGAGAGAAACTTGATTACGACGCGCTGCTCTTCAACGGAAGCGGGCTCCATGCCGACGGGGTTTCGTTAAGAGGTAACTTCACAGATGGCGTGACAAGCCAGGTCGCACCGCACGGCGGTCAGACCAGAACTGAAGCATTGTTAGGGACATAAGGAAGGGGTCCTGCGCTTACCTGGCCTCCCCACTCCTCTTTCTCGCATTCCAGAACACTTTTATACGAACTTTCCGGACAGACCTCGTATTCTACCCAAAAGTTATCTAGAACAGATTGCCTAGCAATAAGATCGCCTCTAATACTATATTACAGGGGGGAAAGGGATTGTTAGCAATGGAGTTCGACATTGCTAGCAATATACCTTATGAGGTCGACCTCCACGTGGTTCCCCCTGGAAACCATCGTGAACAATTCTTGTTGAATTCTTCACGATGGGCTAACTGACCTGCTTCATCCTCACTGGTGCCCCGCCGGTGTATACCAATAGCGCGGGTGGGGTTACCAATCTATTATCACCCATTAAAAAAAAATACTATATTACATTTACTCAAAAATCATTCAACAATTCAAATAATATTGGTACAATAAAGTGTTAAATTAATAAATATACTGTCGATCTCCGTACGGTCTTTCTAGAAACCATTGTGATAAAAACCTAACGGTGGAACTTTATCTGACTTATGTATGATAAGGTCATAGGTATCATGATAGGCTTACTGGTATCTTGCTAGCCTAAACAAAAACGCAAACGAAGTTATCAGCCCATTTCTATCCATTAAAAAAAAATTTATATATAAATATTTACACATTTTAAACTGTAATTTTAATAGATTTTTTCCATGTAGATACTTTATGATAAAACAAACTTTATCACGTTCACACTATATCTATAAACATAAGCGATGCTACTTATTCAATTTTCTTACTTACCGGGCAATCTTTAATATTCTCCAACGCCATAATTTCATCGATCGCTGTCAAGATCCTTTCAATCATGGTTTTTGCTTGCTTTAAACTTTCCAAAGGCGTTTCTTCATTATCGGAAGATTCTCCATTACTGCCTCCCGTCTCGTCGCTATCAACACTCAGTTTAGATATTCGAGAGTCTGAATCAGATCTCTCGTTCTCATATGCTGTATATGTTTTCACTAGATCCAGTAGAAATAGTTTGTATCGTGGAATCCTTTGTATTGGTTCTAACAGATAACTCGACAAGTCTAGTCTATCATTCATTTCAAATTGTCTTTTCTGAAAAAAAAACGTGAAAAAATATTATTTAAACAAATATGAATTATTTCAATTCTTTTTTATCCTGTTCCAATTTCATTTTACTTTTTTTCATAAAAACCTTAACTGAATAGGTAATTAAAAATATTTAAAAAAAAGTCATATCCATTCACTAATTCTCAGAAAGTAATTACTATCGAATTTTTAATTTCTATTATATTTGACTAATTTTAAATTTACAATTTATTTTAAATTCAGATATATTCAATAATTCATTTTATTTCTAGTATTATTTTAATTATTAGTGCTAAACAAATCGGTCGGGTTAAACAACAATATAACAAAAACGCTTAGCCATTTTATAATTACAGAATGCAAACAATAAAGTGGTACAAAAATGTATACCTTTACATTATCAAATATATATTCCTTTTTATCATAATAAAGTTTTATATACGTTACAACGGTGAAAATACTGTATGCGGTTCTCGTGTAGCAAATTACATGAAAACTGTAACTTGTGGATAGTATCCAATCAATAAATAACGATCATAATATTTTCTCGTCAACGCTAAACATTAATATATTAGTATCAATAACATTTTATCGCCTTTCACCAGCTTTTGTGTGCAATTTGGGTCGAATGATATGTGATCACGATCGGGATTACTGGAGCAGAATTTATCCGAGCAAGTAGACTGAGAAGGTTAGAATGGAAATGGCGCGCAACAATAATATAAACTTTCACCATACTAATATTTTAACCAGATCTCTGATGAGATTTTTCACCAAAAAAATGACAATTTATTTCTTTCTGATTTCAAATTCACGCTGAATTTGAAATGATAACTGACTTGACGATTTTTTAATCGATTACATTTAAGTTGAAAATTAAATGTGTTCTTTGGAATATTTTTTTTTATTAATAGATAAATATAGTTCAGTTATGTTTAAATGAAATTAATACCAAGTTTGTTCCAATTGGATTGAAATTCAAATAATACTGTGTGTGATTACAAAATTAACTCAACGAAACAAATCCGCATTTCTATTATGATCACCGTTAGCTTTTAGGTATATCAGTGGAGTGTCATTATGTAATAACTTTGTATTAAAACTCAGAAGACCTCATACGAAGCCTAAGAATTATTCTATTAGATATTCACAACATTTCTTTTCTTGCTATTTCCGTCGATTTATATGTCTCTGACAACTCTTTACCTCATTCTACTGCTTTGCTGATAGATTAGGAGAGTTCTCGAATTACAAATCCGTTTTCTGCTTTGTTTACACAGCCTAGGTAAAGTAATGGTATCAGACATAAAGTGTGATAGAAGACGCACGCAAAAAGGAAAATGCAAATAAGCGCATAACAATTTTTAGTATTAGCCGCTATTATTCTTTGCAGAGCAATATCCTGTTTATTATGAAGCAAAATGTTCAAAAATGTGTATTCGTAATTTTTTTTATACAACTTAGATTGGCAAACAAGCTGACGGTCCACCTGATGGAAAGTGGTAACCGTCGCCTATAGACATGAGCAGTACCATGGACATAATAGAGTATACTGTTTCGCCCATGATACCCCCCATGCGTTGCTATTCCTGTGGACTCGGGTGTTATTCCTCTGTACCCAGTAAATGCAGGTAAATACTTGATACTGTGTTCTAAATCCTGACATTTTAAATCTTATGAGTATACAAAATCTCTAAACATTTGTCGATGCGTTTTATTCATTTCAAAATAAAAATAGTGAAATTATTATCAATATTAATATTATCACAAATGGAACCACTATTTTTTGTGTTGGATACAATACATACTTAGACATAGATTTTGAAATAATGCTAGATTTCAAATAGTCTTTTCTAAGCTTACTAAATAATAAAGTAGCACACAAGTGTATGCTGTTGCGACATCTATTCATTCCATGTCTGTGAACAGTGCTATGCTGAACAGAAGAAATTTCCCTATATAACAAATAAATAATATTTTGATTTCACGTTCATTTCATATTCATTTACTAGCAAACAAGCGTCTAGATCGTTCGGAGTAAGTTTGTTCTTTTATTTTACCAAGTATATCTCCTGCAGGGGAACACTTTCCATATCTTGTCTGAATAGTAGATTACACTATCAGAGCAGGGGGTTGGATTGCTTGCTGAGTTAAGCCAGCCGAGATAAATTCACTTGACTATTTTCACGACCCCATGTAGTCTGGGAATTGTCTCAGACGCTATCGATAATGATTAATGATATATATACTGATATATGTACAACGGTACCACACACAAATGTTTGTTTATTTAGAAAGAAAAATGTTTTCTATTTTTATTCCTCTTCTCGTGTTTTATATTTATGTCCTCCAAAAAAATTGGATCAGGGATGTGTAAGTAATTCATCTCTGATCTTTTTTTTTATTAAAATAGTTTTCTATTGACGTAATTTAAGTTGTACAGATATGATCGAGGAATTAATAAAAAATTCTTTGCGATTATTCATATTTATATGGAAACATGGTAATGATATAACTTTTGTCCCTTGTCCTGAATTAAGGAAAGAAATCGTCATTTATTTTTTGAAAATGTACAATTATATTTAGAACAGTACATAACACATCGAAATTGCGTTCCCAAGATACTAACAGTATTTTCTCTCTAAACCTAATTCAGTTATTAAAGAAAAACATTGCAGTTTTCTTATAATTTCGATAAATAACTTATATAGTTTATTAAATTATCTTATTTATAATATTGTAAAATCAATGCTAAAAATTATAACTATAAATTTTTTTCAATCCAAATTATTGAATATTGTTATTATTTAGATATTTTATTATATACCTAAATCCATTATTTACAACTGTTTAATACTGTCTTAATGTTTTAATATTATTTTACAAGACAATTGAATATTACATTCTTATGATACTAAAAATTAAATTAAATTTTATTTTCGTAAAAAACATAATTGTAGTTTAAATAAGTTACAGTACTTATATTAGTATTATAATTGTAAATGAATACAGTAATTGTGGTTTAAAAATTGGGTTCCTAAAAAAGTTAATATAACAGAACCTGTACTTAGAGCGAGAGCCCCAGCCTCCTTTAGTATTATGGGTAAATTATTATTTATACAAAGTAACTACAATTAGATTATACAAAAATAGACAAAATATATTTAAATGTGGCAATTTATTTGAGTGTCAACAATTACAAAATACAATACATATTACATATTCAATAAATTTCTTATATATTAATCTATTAGTAAGCATATTGTAACTTACTAATGGATGAGATGACAATACACGTGTTTAAAATCACCGCAAATGTGGGTAATGACGACCGTATATAAATAGTACGCTGCCCAAATGAATTGATTGATGATACAAGCGGAGCCATATTGAAGGAATATTTTTTTATTATTCATTGCTATAGACTATTATTGATATGTCTAAGGAATCATACTTGGCACATACCCACATATAAATTCTACACGGTGTCTATGTCCATGATGTCTATTATAATGAAAAAAAAAAAGATTTTGTGAACGCACAACTCATTTAGTTAATCTAGTTATTTTATTAAACTGTACGAAGATAGATGGATTTCGTATTTTATAAAATAAACTACCTTTTTGGCCATTACTTTTTACAAGTACAGAAGAAAAAAACGAAATAGACCGATTCTAGACGGCATATTAAGATAAAACATATATAAGTTTTTAAGGTAGACCTTCAAGAGTACAACTATGAATATCGCATTCAATTTCATGCAGTAATTTTTGCAAAACACCGAAACAAGTATACAGATAAACAGACAATTTCTTAAAATTACTATTATGGTTTTTATTGCTCTTATTAAAATCTCTCATGTCAATTTATAGTAACCTATCTCCCATATATAGACATCGTCTAATTACAATTTCATTATATTAATAAGATTACACAAGAAAATAGATGTCATATTCATTGTAAAATCTATGAATAGGACAACTCATGAGTTAACTATCTTATACCTAATGGTCGCCGATCGGCTTTTTGACTACTTTTTTTATGCGTCTTAACCAACAATTGAAATGCAATATATTTAAATTGTTGTATTTAAATATATGGCATTTGCAGTAATTTTAAAATATTAAGTTGTCATATAAAAGAGAGCAGTAATTAAACACGTAGTTTAATTCAATTTTTCTTAATCATTTTGTAGTATATCGAAAAAGCTATTGTTTTGAAAAGAGTAAATGTTTTATTGAGTAACACGCTCCACCAACCTACTAAAACTCATACGCGGAACAGATGTCGATGAAAATTATAACAAATTATAATTTCTAACGGCGTTTATTTTTTTGTAATCTCTTGATATGATGGTTTTTAACACGTATTACTATGTGTAACGGTGATGTCTATACAGTTAGATGTTGTTTAACAGTACTCACAATTCTCCGCATTTGTAAGTTACATGAAATGAGGAAATAATAGCGCGCGCCGACCAACGGCGCCGCTACCGGCTGCATATACAAGCCGATAATGCAACGATCAATTTGTTTCTTATGACAATTTGCTTCCATCCTGCCGCGTTGATATGTTACATCGATCGTTTGTAATCAAAGGTCAGTGCCACAGACGATGCTGTAGACGCCATTTTGTTAGAAAGTAGCTACTACTACATTGTCTAAAGTAGTTACATGAAGGAACTTTTTCAGTAAACGGAATTCCGAGAAGTTTAAAAACTACAGAATATGGCATCTTGAATTTTAAAATATTTAAAGTGAAACGGTGCCAGTACTTACTTCGGTACTATCTTACATAAAAAGTAATTGAATAACTATAAATAGTTGTCAAATAAAATTAAACCATATTCGCATAACGACTAAAATAAATCAAGAGTTGCACTGAACCTTAATTTTACTGTTTTATTATAACTTACTAGGTTAAGAACGAAACTGACTATATTTTACTAAGCTAGGTATTATCTTGCGGAAGTCCATATCACTAGTTGTGTATTGATTAGTATGTGTGACTGCCAACAGTAGAAGATTGACCCCTATTACTACCAGAAGTTCCACAACCTTCCATATTAGCCATCAATCTCTAACTGCCATTTTGTTCACGTACGTTTTGTGAAAATAGTTTCACCTCTAAACTAGACATTTGCAGGCAAATTATAAGAGACAAGTATTAACCGTTCGGCATCTTAATTGTAAAAACTAATTATAACAACTACCTGAGAAAAAAATATTGATTGGATTTATTTATATAATAAAAATATATAAATAAGTAACTTGACCAAATGAAAATATAGTACAAAAGGTAAACTTACTGTTAATAGCGTCTTCTAACAGTCAACCTTTGGGATGAAAAATAAATCACGAACGCAAATTTCAGTTACCAGTTTCATATTAATAAAATATAATTATAATTTTTTTTTCTATTTAATTTAATCTACCCTCCAAAAATAAACATAATATCGTCTGGTATATATACAAAATGGGAATCAATAATTGGCTAATGTATGATGTATATATTTTTTATTAGGGAAAAGGAATGGTTAGTAATGGAAACTAAGAATTCCATTGCTAGCAATATACCCAACCAGATCGACCTCCTCGCGGTTACCCCTGAAAACTATGATGGTTAATTCCTGATGAATTCATCATGATGGGCTAACTGGCCTCTTTTCATCCTCATCGATCACCCTTCACTGGTGCCCCGCCAGCGTATCCCATTAGCGCAGGCGGGGTTACCATTCCATTTTCATCCAATAAAAAAAATATTCTAGATATAATCTATTGATTCCAGAATAAAAAAAAATAAAAAGTGTCTAAAAGATAGCTTTTCTACTAAACGTACGTCTTATTAAAATCTGTTTTGCTACAATATATGCAGACGCAAAATCAAATTTTATTTCTGTACTATTACAATTAAAATATGGTGTAGTTGGACGAAGAGAATTAATAACGGGTATCTTTTCAGTTTAATGTAATAAATATTAAAACAGGCATTTCTACAAATCCTTCTAACTGCCTACCCAATTAAGGACTATAGTCTTGACTATATCTACTAAAGGTATCAAATTACCAGTTTACACAAGGATGACGAATACAAGCAATGTTAACTTGTTCGATAACTATCCTTATCATAACAACTCATTATCAGTTAATTATGGTTTTGAAGGTTTTCTTACTATACCTATACTATATACATAAAGTATATAATATGTATACTATAATTATTTTACCTACACTTTGTGTATGAATGCATAATAATATGTTTATTAACCTATTATTTTCACCGTGTAATTTTCTATATACGAGTACGTACATTTTTAAGCGACTCCAAATATAAATAATTTGCTCCACCAAAAATCATGATTAAAAAAACATTACACTAACGCGATAAAATTTTTATCTTTTTAAAATAATCTACACACAATTTTACGAGTCACTATCTACTTTATAACTTTGGGAAATCCTTTATTCAACCGTTCATAATTATATTATTAACAATATATTAATGTTAAAAGCAACTCACCTGAAAGAACTCCTTGTATTCATACACTAGTCTAATAGCATTCTTGTTATTTCTAGAGTACATCACGTACATGTTAAATTTTTTCTCCTGCAAAAAAAAAACTTTTATTGTCTTTAGAGAATACAGGTAGGTAGGGGATGTATCTATTCATTCATAACTACCAATTACGCCCTAATGATGTATAGTTAATAGTAAAGTATCAACTTACTATCGACAGGTGGAAGAGAGGGATGGTTAGTGATGGAAACATTAATCCCCATTGCTAGCAATGTATCTCTGCAAACCATCGTGATTAATTCTTATTGGATTCGTTACAATGGGCTGAATGACCTAGTTTCATTCTCACCTATCCCCACTCACTGATGTCCTGCCAACGCATACCGATAGTGCAGACGGGGTTACCATTTCATTATCATACATTAAGAACTATTGACGGACTGTCCAGGCAACTTTGTACAAGATATTTTTTCATATCTTTCCTTCCTTGCACTGCGTTTGGTTCCTTTTCACTACAGATGAGATTTATTAACCTTATTTTTAATATTTCTACAGAAATTTCAATCAAATATACAATCCGCCTGATAGTCTAGCCTATGTTAATTTCTAACCAGTTTTCTTAATGATAATGGGATATGATATCGAGACATCCGGGTGTTCTAACGATTCATCAAAAGTATATAAAAATAATTACAGTAACACGTTCGTCATGTAAATGATGTAGAATTTTAATTGTTCTTGCGAAGCATGAAAACAATTAGTATAGTGATGTATTTTGAAATACAACACATATTTCAAAATACAACACGATACTAGGTAATTGTTTTTAAAGAAATCCTACACTTTGGTCACTGTTCGTGAATTATCTGTTACACAATTTTTTAAGTGAGAATATTTCTAGCGAAATTCCTATACTTTCACCGGATTAAATCTAAACTAGACCAGTGTAATATGGCGACAGCGGGGCAATAGAATCGTGCATTACTAATAACATAATGAAGTAAATGCATGACATGGTCGTGACGTGACAGTCCATCTTAGCAACTGTAGTCACTCTCGAGGTGATTAAAACGAAGACTGAAATATATAGTATATAAAACTGGTGCCAAGTCTTTACAAACAAAACTATTATGCTTGAATATTAAAACGTAGCTCGATCTCGCCTCAATCGATTCTTGATCACGTGATTCTTGATCGAGAATCGATCGCCATCACGTGGTAAAACAGAATCCAAATTTTTACGCAATATTGAGTAGATTACCTCTAATATGAAAACTCTTAAAAAAATATTTTGTCTTATTAGTAATTTATTTAACTGACAATATATTTTTATGCTAAAGTACCAAAGTGTTTCCATAAATACATATGACTGTGTATAAAGCGATTCTTATAGATTTGCATTTGATTAAAATATATTTATAATATAATCGATCATAGTTCTCCGCACTGTTTTTAAAAGTCTGATATTAAATTAGGAATACTTACAAACTTCCTGAAACATTGTCCTAATTTCCTAAGGTCATTTTCACAGTCTCTCATTGCTGGTAGGAACTCTTCGGAATGAAATTTGAATACGTCTTCGATGTTGCCGAAAATAGCTGACTTGAGCTGCATCAATAACGGTGGCATGCGAGTGTCATGTCCTCTTAGACCTAACTCCGGCATATAGTTCTCAACAACATGCCTCAATCGTTCCACATATACATGCTCGGTGTGTAACAACTCATTGACACGTTCCGTTAATCGTCTGTAAAGAAACAAATATTATATAGAATTAGCACAAATATATTATTATAACTAACAATTTAAATACGTACTAGACAGAAAATCAAAATATCGCCTAAGTCCAAAAACACAAGGTTAATGCTTTGTGTGTGTGTATGTGTTTGTGTGTTTTGTGTGTATGTGTGTGTGTGTGTGTGTGTGTGTGTGTGTGTGTTTGTATGTATGTATTTGTGTCTGTGTGTGTATTTGTGTGTGTTTGTGTGTTTGTGTGTGTGTGTGTGTGTGAGTGTATGTATGCTTTTGGCTTTATTCACGTATTACGTAAATAACAGGAAGAAAGGGATAGTTAGTAGTAAATTTTTACAGCGTTTGCTAGAAATAAACCCTATAAGGTCAAAGTCTATGCGGTTTCCCTGGAAACCTCATCATTAATTATTGTAAAATTGATCACGTTTGACCAACTGCCCTACTTCGTCCTCACCTATCAATCCTCATTGGTAGCATATACCAACAACGTAGCCGGGGTTATCATTCCATCGATTAAAACATACTCAAATATTTGAATTGGAGTAAAACAAGGTCAAGAAGGTGCGTGATTGTCTTTTTTATTTCACAATCTTTTAGTATACAATAATTCGACGTAAATATATATATATATATATATATATATATATATATATATATATATATATATATATATATATATATATAAAGATTGTGTAAATCGGTCTGCTACCTAAACAAACTCAGAACCGATACTGGATTAATTTAAAAAAATCCTAAAGCACAGGTGTTTAATGAAAGAGTTGCAAACTGCATTTCCCTACACGATGCACTGATAGAAATTTTTCGTAACCACACTTGAATCCCACGGTCTAACAGTCGTTATGGTAAGCGGTGCAAAGATTTGCGTGTTGCACACAGCCTCATTTTTCTGCCTCTTGCCAATCACCGCGGTTTCGACAGCTAACCTAACTTTTAATGCTGTGTCACTGTAGCCCCAAGTGACAAGGTCATATATAAAAAGCAGATGGCGTCTCGACTTTATTCAATTTCAATAAAACTGAAATCTTGTTATAATCATAGAAACACTCTACATAAAGTTAGTAACTAATCAAAATATCAATCAATATCTTTATTTGGTACTATTACTAGACATCAATAGGATATTTTATGGTTCGAACAATTGTTTGTTTGTTTATAGTTTCACTAAGTTCAGACCATAAATGCATATTCTCAAGTAAGCATCACACATCAACTTTTCTATAGATATAACCATCTTTATGTAGATATATATATACATAATAATATAAATTTACTTTGGCTATTAAAATATTTTTTTTTCTAACCTTGAAAAAAGTGATAAAAGATAATTAAAATAGGTTTTTAGAAGGTTTTGGTGATTATTAATAAAAAATATTAATCTACGATAGATACCTACATTATTATCATTTATTGACTACAAAATAAACTCTTTTCTCTATATTTCTTGAAGGAAAAAAGTATCGATATTGATACAAATCTATAAATTTTATCAACAATAGTAAAGCATCGTTCTCTATTTCTACTATTAAAATGTCAATTTAATATTACAGCATAATTATAATATTATTCTAAGAACCAGTACAAACTAAATTTTAATAGAATCCCATAAGATCCGCCTTACATTTAATTCTCGATCCATATCATAATAGTTTTGCTAAACTATCAATTTAAAAATGTAAATTTAAAGATAAGTTGAGGTAATGATGGCTCTGAGTCGATACCATTGTTAAATTAATTTGTGATAGAATTAATTTTGCATAACAAAAGGCACAGAAACCTTTAATGAAGACTATCTTCATAGTTGCAACATTTTTGTAAGTAAAAATATAAGGTTTTGAGTTAATAATTAAGGTATTCGTTGGTGTAAATAAAAATATTTTTTATGTGATCCTGTATGTACCTACAAATTTCCAATTATTAAAAACAAGAGGTTATCTCGAGCGGTTTAAATTATATAAGTACGTAATGTGTGAAAACAGATAAGTATGACATAATCTATATTAATATTATGAAAAGGAAAGATTTAATTGTTTATTTATAATGGATAATAAACTCAAAAACTATTCAACATATTTTCAAAATTATTATTAATTCTTTTATATATAGAAAGCAATATGTCTGCGACGATGACATCCTTACTTATACTATAAATATTAAAGTAAGTTTAGTACCTCATAGCGCCTTAACGGCTTAAACAATTTTTTTTATACAACTTAGAATGGCAAACAAGCTGACGGTCCACGTAATGGTAAGTGGTAACCGTCGCTTATAGACATGAGCAGTACCATAGACATAACAGAGTATACTGTTTCGCCCATGATACCCCCCATGCGTTGCCATTCATGAGGACTCAAATGTTATTCCTCCCCTGTAAATTCACGCCATATCCCACCCTTCAAACCGAAACACAGTCATGTAAACACAACTTCTTTATGATTGAAACACGAATGGGACAAAGGTACCCAAGCAAACGACTTTTGTACAAAGTCTCCCTCTGGTTTGAATTACTATAAAAATTGATATATACGTACTATACAAGTGGAGAAAAATATAGGCTACTTTTTATCCCGATCATTAGACATATCCTGATCATATGGACGAAGTCGCGAGTAAAAGTTAGTAGGCTATATATTATATTCGAATATTCTATCTAACCGTGGAAGCGAAGCTGGACCGGATTCTCAGTATAAAATAAAAACAAATAATTTGCAGTAATATAAAACATACTAACAAATACCTACTAAACGTGATATTCGAAGATTCTTAATTAAAATAAAAAGATAAGCATATTATTTTTTATCAATCAGGTCAAAACTCATTTTAGGATAAACATACGTTGTTAATAAATAATTAATATGGTTTGTTTATAGATATTCAATTGGAAATTTTTATATACGTACTGTTAAGACTTGTATTATGTATTGACGCTAATAAACTCGAGAAACTCGTTAGGTGTTTTTTTTTTTTTTATACAACTTAAAATGGCAAACAAGCTAACGGTCCACCTGATGGAAAGTGGTAACCGTCGCCTATAGAAATGAGCAGTACCATGGACATAACAGAGTATACTGTTTCGCCCATGATACCCCCCCCATACGTTGCCATTCCTGAGGACTCAGTTGTTATTCCTCTGTACCCAGTAAATTCACGCCATATCCCACCCTTCAAACCGAAACACAGTCATGCAAACACAACTGCTTCACGGTTGAAACACGAATGGGTAAGAAGTACCCAAGCAATCGACTTTTGTACAAAGTCTCAAGTATTATTAACTTAACCTAATATATATGAAATCAATACCATATATCGTAGCCCAAGTACCATAATATTGCATACATGCATTTAGGTATACATATTTACTTATCATTTATGATGCATACCAATCCTTGCATTACAAATAATTATATAGCACATGTCCACAGTTGTACGATGTCTACAGTCTATCGTTGATAATGATGATGATATCAGCCGTTTACTATCCACTTCTGAACATAGGTCTCTCTCTTGGGGTATTTTGCCAGTAGATGCCATGCTCGGCGGCTGGGTTAGCAAACACAATTAAGCTTTGGTGATGTTTTAAGAGGGATGCTGCCGCCTATCCCTCGACCATTTAATTCTCTTATTCAACAATTATTAATATAATAATATTATTCACCAATCAATATATCTTACGACATCCACGAAAAAGGAACAGGTGGCCTATTCTTTCAATCTACAGTTACCTATGTAATATTTATTTTACAACTTAATATTTTTATAATTTAGCTAATCTAATAAACTTATAATTATTAATAATATAAATAAGAGTAAATAAAAAAATAACTTTTAGGATCTTTGTCTTCCTGTCTGTTCCACTGTATTTTCATTGTACCATCACGCTAGAACTAGTACTCCAAATTGCACTTTTAATATTTTATACGAAGGATTTATATATACAATTTGTACCTATGCGAAGCCGAGGTTGGTCGCTAGTTACAATTAAAGTAAAAAGATAAGTCCACATTAAAATATTATTACATTAATTATCAATTAGGTCAAAAATTGTCTCGATGAATCATGCGTCGCAATGTAAACATTATTGTCGAGGTTTATTCAGAGACTTTACACTACGATTATATTATTTTACTTTACATACTCGTAGGTATTTGTATTTTAATGTTTCTTTATATATCTCATATGATGCGTTCAATATTGTACATGATATTACTTACATTTTTGGCATCATTACGATAATTACATCGATTTCGTTGTGAATTCTGAATTGATTTTTGTAACTATATTATCCCATAGTCTTTCATTAAACTTTTTCTGTATATTTTTTCAAACAATTTCTTTAAAAAATGTATCCTACTTTATTTATATATAACAATCACAAATACAACAAAAAAAGAATTAGCCAAATGGGTGCAGCCGTTCTAAAGTGATACGCTTACATATATAGGTATTTGGTGCTCGTTTTTTATATAGATTTACTAATGCAACCAGTTTTGGAACGTCATCCTCCTGCATATTTATAAAATAACCATCGTAAATACATTTATTTAAATATGATCGTGGAACATGTCTGCATCCTCAGTCATTTTATTAATATAATTTTAATAATAAAATCACTTTTAGTGAGAATATTTATAAATATCGTTATAAAGAGGATAAAGGGGATAAAGAGGTTTCTTCAGGGTCGGCAACGCGCGCGTAATACCTCTGGTATTGCAGGCGTTCATAGGCTACGGTAATCGCTTACCATCAGGTGGGCCGTATGCTTGTTTGCCACCTCAGTGGTATAAAAAAAATATCGAACTAGAAACAAATTATACTGCCAGTTTAGTAAATAAATTATTTTTGATGATAATAGTTATTATATTGATCATCCATCCATCCTTTTCTTTACCGTGGGTGTTCTAAGAGGCGACTAAGGGAGGGCGAAGGATGGGCAGCAGTATCCCTCTTAAAACATCTCCAAAACCTAACTACGGTTGC